CAACGGCGACGTGTCGCGCGTCAAGCGCCTCGTGGACGCCGCCAACGTGAACGCTAAGGACATGGCCGGCCGCAAGTCCACGCCGCTGCACTTCGCCGCCGGTGCGTGCCCGCGAGCCTCCCCTCTCGGGAAGCGTTTCCCCTTAAACGGCGCCGGGGGCTCGGAACGACCTCTCTTTGGCGAGGCTTTTCCCTCTCGAGTGGGGTTCGGGGCTGGGAATTCCCCCGCACACCCTGGGGGAAGTATTTTCTGCCCTTAAACGAGCCTGGCGACTGGTAACACCCCTCCTGGGGAGCCTTCTGCCCCTTCGGCAGCGTGGGAGGCCTGTCGTGCCCGGCTTGCTTGGTGTTTCTCCCCCACGTTGTGTAGAGGTAGCCTGGTAAATCCTCCTTAATGTTTTCCACCTTAAACGGGAGTGTGGGGGCTGTTAAACCTTATTTTTTGTGCTTTCCACTTGAAACTGAGGCATGGGGGCTTTTAAAAAATGGTTGTTAAAATCCCTTTTTGGCTTTTCCTCCCTTTGAGGGGAGAGAGGGCTGTTAAAGTCCCTATATTTGTTTTTCTTTGGTGTTTTCCACCTGTGACAGTGCCGGGGGAGGGACATGACTCTGATCCTACACCTTGTTTATGGCTTTTTTCAAAAGGGCATACACTCTTACAGGTGTTGGAGGGGGCAATGTTCAGTTGTTTTGGAGCTAAACTGCCGCCCTCCACAGTCAGCTCCTCTCGGAGGCAGCACCAGAGAGGGTTTCGCTTCCCTCCTTGCGGTTTGCAGCGGAGAAATCCTGCTAATTGCAGGCGAATCCGTTTCCTGATTGCTGAGGTAGCCAAATTTGGGGAGTTTTTCCACGTAGCCGTCGTGCGCACGTTTGGGGCAGAGTTTCCTATTTGCCCCGTTTGGGACTGAGGCTTCTCTGGGTGCTTTTCCAGCTGTTTGTCTGCTTGGCCTGGAGATGCAGCCTCTTTTCCTTGGGAAAAGCTTTCACTTCTTGCTGCTTGTGCTGGGCCCTGGGAAGGGGCTGTGAAGCTGCAGTCTTCCAGGCCGTCCGTGCTCATCCCTGCTCTCGGAATCTGGGTGTAGGGTCTGTTAACCATGGGGTTTTCTGGGGGTAGTGAGTGATCCTTGGGCCCCAGCAGGAAGGGAAGCAAACTGGAGTTGTGCTCGTAGAAGAGGGCTCATGAAACGGGAGCTGCTCCTCCCAGTCGAAGGAGCTGGAAACGAGCCCGGCTCAATCCGTCCCGTTTTCCCTTGGCGTCTCGAAGGACGTTAGCGCTCGGCTTGGCGAGCCTCCCGCTCCCGGACGCGGCTTCCCGTCCGGACAGCGGCCGTCGGCGCTCGCCCCTGCTGCGCGCAGAGCCGCCCCGCTAGCAGTGCCACGTTAGTCCCCGCCGCCTCGGGGAGCCGGGAGGCTCTTCTACCCGCTCCGATCAGAGCTCAGAGACTCGGAGCAGCGACTGCTCAGGTTTTGGTTACAATGCAGTCGAGGCTGCTTCTGCTGTGCACACAAGTGCAAACAAGTGAACCTGTATTCTCGCTTTACGGCCCCAAAGCAGAGCATTTTTATGGCCAGGGAGGCACGTCCAGAATATCTTTTGGGTGTCTGTACCCTGTGCCGCGGGCGAGCAACCCCTTTCGAACGTGAAACGGGGCGTTTCTGACAGCCCTGAATCCCCTCGCAGGCTTCGGCAGGAAGGACGTGGTGGAGCACCTGCTGCAGACGGGCGCCAACGTGCACGCGCGCGACGACGGCGGCCTCATCCCGCTGCACAACGCGTGCTCCTTCGGGCACGCCGAGGTGGTGAGCCTGCTGCTGTGCCAGGGCGCGGACCCCAACGCCCGCGACAACTGGAACTACACCCCGCTGCACGAGGCGGCCATCAAGGGCAAGATCGACGTGTGTATCGGTGAGTGTCCCGCGACGGCCGAGCGCTCCCTGCCCTCCCTGCCGCGCCGCGCGGCGCCTCCTTCCCCCCTCGAGTCCCCGAGGGGCTGAGGGGCCTCCAGAGATGCTCTAGTCCAAGCATCAAGTCCCCCCTGCTCCAGTGGGGATGCACGGGGTGGCATCCAGGCGGGTCTTGAATATCTCCAAGGAAGGAGCATGCTCAGCCTCTCTGGGCAGCTTGGCTCGGGGACACCCTAGTTCACCATTGTCGCACGAGTTCAGCTGGAGGTGAGATAATTCTAAATAAAACTGAGCCCTTCAATCATACCTGGAAAACGTGAAGTGGATCTCTCTCAGCAAGCGTGTCTGACACCTGGATTTTTCTCACACAAGTCTACCTGAATGCGAAAACACACAGTATATAATAAATGTCCTTTTTATTACTCTTTTCCCCCTAAATGGGGACATTTTATTTATTACTCCTGGGTCATTTTGAACCTACTGATCTATTCTAGTGCTTTTGATGCCCACTGACTTGAATACGATTGTTTAGATTTCCTTCTCAGATGTGGAAGAAAAGCCACAGTTGAGATGATGAATGTGATATTTATGTTGTATATCATCTAGATAGAGCTTTTAGCTTTCCAGATAATACCCCTTGTCTTAAGGACTCTCACCATTAAGTTGCCATAGAGAAAGATGCAAAACATACTGGCCCCGTTCTCGCTTTATTGCAATATTTACATCAAAAACTGAGGGAGAGGAGACTGGAGAAAATCCTGTGGGATTTCTTTGAAAAGCCGAGGAGAGCTGTGGGGCTGGCTCAGATAATATACTGATATATTAATATACTGATATATTAATGTACTGGTAACTCTGGGTTTTATTCTTGGGTCAGATGCTTGATCCCTCAGCACGAGAGTTGCTGACAAGGGTGGTGCAGCTACTGACGAGAGCTGCTCTGTGCTACAGTATGTTGCTTTGGAGGCGTTGAGGTGGTTTGCAGAACTCCTAGACAGCGAGTATAGACCTTGAAGTGAGTTTGTGTAAAATACACATATATTTATGTGCATATACAGTGAGAAAAAGCAAGAGCGTGCTGGCATGTTTTGCTCTCTGGCATCTTCTAGCCCTTCTTAAATGGGTTAATGTCTAATTTTTGTACTAAGGTGTTAAGCCTTCACCTCGGGGAGCTCGCGAGGGCGCCTGAGCTGCATGCAGGGCAGTGGCACCGCGACCGCTTGGGGCTCAAACTCGGAAATACTCGAATAGCCCTTGGGAGGTTTCGCGCAGTCCCTTCGCTGCAGGCCTCTCTGCAGAGTTTGGCGTCTACAAAAGGCGTTTTGGGGCTGTTCCCTTTCAAATAAGACAGGCGTGCTTGTTAAAACGCTCTAATTGCAGAACAGCACCTGGAAATGCCGCCATAACCTGGAACTTAGCAGCAAGCTTCAGAATATCCGCCAGGATGTGACGGGCTGTGCAGCAATTGCTCGCCCAGCCTCGTTTTTCTGGCTGTCTCTGTTCTGGATGGCTTCCAAGTGCTCTAACGAGGCAGACGCCTCCCCTTCCCCTCGCTGCCCGGGGCTGTCTCCCTTTGCTGTCACATCTAGCACAGCAGCTCTGTGCTGGCCCCTTTACAAGTACATCCAAACGGGACCAAGAGCCAAACAACCCCTTGGCTTTCACACCTGGTGCTCTGTGACGCCTCCTGCAAGCCCACAAGGGAAATGCCTGCCCTTGCTTCCCGTTTGCTCTCCGTGAATTCATCGGGTTGCTCCAAGACTTTCTCCTTCGCCAAGCTCTTCCAGGCTGAAGAATTGCCCTTATCCTGCTGCGGCACCTCCTCGTACTTCTGTCCTTCTCCAGGATTGTGGTTCCCCACTTTGAAGAGTGAGGGGATGGATCTGGAGGGGCTGCCAAAACCGCTGCGGCCCCGCGTGAAACAGCCTCTCCGTTTGGGGTTGCGGTTGTTGAGCGCTGAACGGGAGCAGCTCCGAGGTGTTTCCGGAGGGCTGACAGCTGATCCCAAGCTCTGCCTCGCTGGGAAAGCAGCCTAAAAATAACCTGGGGCCGCAGGGCTCCGTCGCGGCGCCTTGGCCTCCCGTCCGTGTCTTCCAGCATTGCTCAGGGCTCCTCCTGGTGCCTCCTGTTTGCTTGCGTGTGCTGTGACTACCACAGCATTACTGGCCTGAGATTTCAACTCTTTTTATTTCAAAGCTAGCATGTTTTGCAGCATACACAGGTCCTAGCAGGATGGATAGGGCCACCTCCTGGATGAATAAAATGCCCAAAAGGTAGTTTGTGAGTAACAGAAGTGCCTAGGAACCCTCAAAGCAGCTGCAGAGATGGTGCTGTGAGATGTTGTAGTAGTGCAGAAGCCAGTTCTTGGTGGGGAGAGGGAGGAAAACACTGTAGCATCTTAGCTTAAAAATGGTCATAGCAGCTAATGAGTGTCTGTAGAAACCCAGTGTGTCCCTGACCTCCCTTGCTCGGTGTCCTGCTCCGGGAGCTACTGGGAGTGGGACTTCTGCTCCAGGTGGCACAAAGAGCCCCCAGGACAGGGCTCTTTGGACAGGGCTTTGGTGCCCGAAGGTTTGGCCTTGCGCACAGAGCGGCTCGTGCTGCTGCCATCTCGCTACTGTGAGAGCAGCCACCGGAGCAAATCAGGTCCAAGGAACATCCCAGGAGGACACGGAGAAGAGCTAAGGGAGGCCAGCGAGCAATGCCAGGCTCCTTCCGTGGATGTTTCCTGGTGAAACCCGGATGATGCCCGCGGAACTATACGTTGGCGAGACAGCCAGACCAAGCAGAGCTCGGGCGACCGTGGCTGCTCCCAAACCCGTCTCCAGCTTCGCGGAAGGATGCTGCTTCGTTGAGTCAGGCTGCCCACCGCAGCTCCTGGTGGGGACGTTGCCCAAACGCCCGGAGCTTCCGCAGGTTTTCCCAGCGGGAGAGGCCGTCCTGCATCAAGCCAGCTCCTGTCCTGCTCCATCGCTGGTCCCTACGCGCGCGGGTTCGGCCTCCTCTGGCAGGAGGCCAAGCAGCTTCCCTGGCCTCCAGAACGGGCAGGTTCCCCACAAAGAGCCTGGGGGACAGAAAAGCCTCTCCCTGCTTAAACATAATGGCTCCCTGGTTCTGGTTTTTCACAGCCTAGTGCTCTACCCCTGAGTCGTTGCAGTT